AATAGGAGAGGATCAAACACGTGTATAAGAACTTATGCGACAACCTAATAACATTAGAAACTTCGCTGATAACCTTCCGGGGTAGTTTGACCCCTGAACGCATTATCACACCAGCTCAGCACGAAACTTGCTGGCGTTGGAAGAACGGCACCATATGCATGTTTCACCCCGGCGCGTGCTGCGCGGACTCCTGGCCGTTTCGTGACAAGCGGCAAAACCCGCAAACAGCAATCCCTCGACGCCATATTTTCAACTTCTATACCTGATCGCGGGCCATGCCTTCAAGGCAGTTGGGGAGACACGGCGATACGAGACCTACCCTACTGCCTGCGACAATAACCCTCCCTTTCACTGCGCTTCTGCCTTGGCCAAGGAAAAGATGGATGTGCAGATGAATATTTCATGGATACAAACGAGGAAGCAGGCTGGATCCGCGCCGTAACGTATATCATTTCTCCTATCTTAACTCCCTGTACCCTCACGTGTGTGGTACTCACGCTACCAGGTCAGACTTCCCCTCGGGAAAGTTCTTAGCAAACTTGGTGATCCTCACATTCTTGTCTTTCAAAATACTATGCCTTCAGACAGACCAGGGTCAATTATCACATCGGAGAGAATCGGGGCGTTGGTACTACCAAAAAGGGTTGTCCGTACGACCCCCTCCCCTCAGTGGCTGTTGTGCGTATGGGTATCTGCTTGATATGTCAGGATGCACCTGTAGATATTGTGGGTTATGCGAAATTTAACAAATAAGTATCTAAATATCTGTGAACATATACCCGGCCAATCGAACAAATGCGCTGAAATTTGAAGGAATCAGTTCTTCAGAACAAATGTAGTGCCCGAAGTAAAACTTCGTAAAAATCTTACAATGACGCCCGAAACACTAGCAGCCGAGACACTGAGCGTACCGCGGCTGCCTTGCGCATTGAGATTTGAGCACTGTTGCATTCACACAGAATTTTCAAGAGGGTATGAATTCATTCAGAAGCCATTTTTTTGCAGAGCGGTAGGAACCCATGTTGTAAGGGCAGCTCTATACGGAACACATTACAACTTTTATCGAGCTCGCATGACGGCTTCCGGCCGGAAAATAACATGGAGATATTTGGCAAACGCGTGTTTTCTTTTCCCTTTCAATGGATGCAACTTCGTTCAGACATGACGTAGAACAGCAATGTAAGCGAGACGTTTCCTTTTTTGATAAGCTGCAGCTTAATATAGCGAAAATTTGCCTTTTGCGGATTTCGCTTTCGAAAGTCAGCGTCAGCTGCAGCATGAAGGATCTCCTCCCTACAAAGCCCACAGTTCCTTCCAGAGAGCTCCGTAGGTTTTCCGTACACCTCTTCATATGTCGAATAGGAGCTGATGCGATGCCTGAACAACACCTCCATGGGATGTGACATCTTCTTATTCTTCAGCGTTTGTCCCGCTCTGTAGGGGTCCGCTCTCCTGATTTTGTTACGCCATTTATTCCGGTCGAATGCCTGATCAGGGTGAGCACCAACTATCTTAAATCCGCGTGCAGCGTGTCAAGCCAACGTTGCCTGGGGCGTCCTCTAGGTCGTTTGCCGAGCACCTCGAGCTGGAGACCAGAAGCAGACGGTGTCCGCCTTCGCGCGAAGTACGTGGCCATACCATCGGAGACGAGATTCTCGCATTTTATCAACTATGGAAGGCTACGCCGAATTTCTTGCGTATGTCATCGTTGCAAATCCGATCCATACGCGTGACACCGGCCGTCCAACGTAGCATTTTCATCTCCACTAAGACGGGCTTCGACTTCTTTGGTTGCAGGCCAGCACTCAGCCCCGCCACGTCCTGATGTAACCACAGCTCTATAAATCTTCGATTTGAGGCGCTCCTGGTATGGTCTTGTCACACAGAACTCCAGTCATCGAGCGCCATTTCGCCCATGCTGCACTCACACGAGAGTTCACCTCTGAGGTCAGACTGCCATCGGACACAATTTCTGATCCAAGATACTTGAAGGCTCTTGTGCGTGTGAGCTCGATGCCACTGATCTTAATGGAATCGGACTCATTTGTATCGGTCGTCAAGTACTCGGTTTTCTTGATGTTCAACTTCAATCCGAACTTTGTCAGGCGATCAGACCAAGCTTGCACCTGTTGCTCGAGTTCGCTCTTATCTTCACTGGAGAGCACCACATCATCTGCGTAAGGCTTATACTACTTTATACTTTGCGGCAGCGTAGCGTGTTACGCCAGCGTACGCTGGAAGCGCTACGCTACGCTGCCGCAAAGTATAAACGCAGCCTAAAACGTCTAAGGACTCGGTTTCTGGAGATCTCGCGAGATTGCATCCAAGACGACCACGAAAAAGGAGTGGAGAGAGCGCAGAGCCTTGATGTACTCCGACCGTGATGGGAAAGTCCTGCGAAGTGCCTGATGGTGCATGCACGCGGCTCTTCGGGCTGGAGTACAGGATGCGCACCCACTCAATAAGCTCTTCGGGAACGCCGTGTTGCCGCAAGGCGTACCATATAACTTCACGCGGAACACGATCGAATGCCTTTTCTAGGTCCAGAAAGCTAGATGCAGTGGCTTTTGCTTCTCACGATGTCTCTCCATGTATGGTGTCGATGTGCTACAGCCTGAAATGAAGGCGAACGGACTGATAGAAAGCAGTACGATTCCGCGAATACGACTGTCAACAATTCGCTCAAAGATCTTCATACTGTGTGACAGCAGGCGAATTGGACGGTAGTTCGAGCAGTCCGCAGGGCTGCCCTTCTTCTTCCAAATCGGAATCGTCGTGCTCTCTTGCCAGTCCTTGGGCGTCTTCTTCTCAGCAACGACCTGATTGAAGAAATCCGTCAACCATTCTACAGGGTACCTGCACCGCGCTACTTTCTGAACGGACCGTATACTGAGGAGACGAAAGGGATGGCTGGGTGCGCATACTCTACGGTTGAAATATTCTCAAAGAAGTCGTGCCATCTCCTGAGCACCCTCTTCCGGTCCATCAAAAGACGGCCATGCTCGTCGTTGACGCCAGGGAATTTCTCGATATCTTCGGTCTATGCCGAGCCTTGGCAAGTCGGTAGAGGTGCCGCTCTCCATCGCGTGAATCTAGTTCCTTACTGACATCTTCTGGGCGGCCTTCGCTGCAGCCACAGCCTTCTTTCGCTGCATTCTTCGCTTCTTTGTACTTACCCAGCTACTAGTGAGCTTTCGTCAAGAAAGGCTTCTTTGTACTTACCCAGCTACTACTGGTAGCTCCTCTTCTTCTCGCGAACCGTTTCTTTGACATTCTCAGTCCATAACCACGGCTGCTTATCAATTCTACGCCTTCCAGGCTTCGATGCCAAGTTCGGAACGAGCGGCCTCATGTATCGCCTTAGCAGCACTTTCCAGGTCTCATCGACAGTCGTGACGGTGGGAAGTCGAATACGAGAGATTACAGCTGCCTCCTTTTCTTTCAAACGCCACCATTTGATCCTCTCGGGACCACATCGCTCGACCCGTTTGGACCGGAGCTTTGCGATCTTTAGCGTGCAGATTAGTGGGCGATGTTGTGTGGCAACTGTCTCGTACGGCACAGTCTTCGCGTCCGTGATGAGCCCTTGGTCGCGGTGTCTAACAAGGACGAAGTCGATCTGCGTTTTGGTACTCCCACTGTAGAAGCTGATGAGGTGGGAGTCACGTTTACGAAACCTTGTATTCACGATGACTAGGTTATGGGCTTCCGCATACTCAAGGATTCGCTCCCATCGGCGTTACGTGATCCATAACCGAAACCACCATGACAACTGTAGCCGTCTTTCGTAGCACCTACGTGCCCATTTAGGTCACCAGCAACAATTACGACGTCCTGACGGTATCTCAGCTGTCTTCTCCTCAAGCAGGGACCAGAACTCGTCCTTGGATCGCTCGGAGCATCCCGTTTGTGGAGCATAGGCAGAAAAGAAATGGTACAGCCGCTGTTCGATAGCAATAACGATCTTCATCAGGCGGTCATCGAAGCGTTCTACGCTTGCTATCGAGTCCCGGCAACTGGACCATCTTTCCTGCACAGCACAGGTCTATACGTCTGCGCTCCAGTGCCTCTGCCAGCTCACATGAGCGCCCCGTCAACGTTCCAACATTCAACGTTGCTACGCGGACATTTGCACAACTTTTGGACTAGCCTGGTTGCCCCCTATGCATCGGGGACCCTCGCATACGTTCCACACCTGCCCGGCCGTGGAACGTCGGCTCCCGCGGACGCCGTAGCATTGTCTCGCAATTCATATGGCATATTGAACATTGGTGATGTGACTTGGGTGTTCGTAGGCCGGCCCGTCACGAAGGCCTGTCACCTGCTTTCGAATGTCCGCGTTCGGCTCAGCCCGCACAAGCGGGAAGTTTCCCAGGGGCACCACGTGGAGGAGCGGACTTCACCACCTTCATGGGATGTGACATGTACTCGACTTTCTCTCCAAATGCATCACACATCCTGCAAGCAACGTCGCTGCTGTGTTTATTACTGATCTCTGCAAATACAACCCCCCCCTGCTTGGCGGCCACGTACGACCCCATTGATGGGTTTTGCTGTACCCTGCGCCGCCGTCCCACAACTTAAAACCTAGTGTTGCTTAGTTCTGTCGATATTGTCGTCAACGTGTTAAAATAGCTACAACCTAGTGACGAAAGCCTTCATAACACTCGCGAAGGGGAAAAAGTGAGAAATTGTAAGGAGAGCAGATGCGGCATGTGTCGACTGATTTCGCGTTTTCCGCATTGTTTCTCATAGTTTATGCGTTACAGCACATAAGTGCAAGAAAGTGCTCGCCTTCAGTAAGCTCGCTTTCATACTACCAACGGACATGAAAAGCACATGTGAATCAAACGCACCTACGTACGTAATTGTCCCGTGCATCAGCTTCAACAAGAGCACGAATTTCCGCTTTTCTTTGCTCATTAACGACAACACAAAATTTCCACGGTTGGGCGTTACCAACACTGGGTGAACAACCTGAAAGAACCACCCGCCTCATCAACAAATAGTTATGAACAAATAGTCCCAACCATTTCCAAATTAAAAGCTTAATCAAACTTTACGACCTGACCTGCCGTCTTTATGATGTTCTGCACAATTTTCAGAGGAACAGCTTTATTGCTGAAGCTTCGTACACTCCGACGTAATCTCATTTGTTCGTAGAAATACTGCGAAGCGCGGAGCATTTCACGCTCATGCATGAACGGCATATGGTAGAGGATCTGAATTACCCCCAGTCAGCCCCTCGGCTCATGTAATTTTCAAACTGTGACAAATCAGACTT